CCAGTCTACGAAGAAGAAAGACAGCGGCCATAGCCGCGGAGCCTGTACCACGGAGTGACGAAGTAGGAGGAAGAAGGACAGAGGGGGGAGAGACCGAGAAGAGAGAGGAAGCGGCCATATCCAAGAGGCGAGGTAGAGGCCAATCAAAAAAAAAAAAAAAAAGAGAAAGAAGAAGACAACGGGAGGAAGGAGGCGAGGGAGGTAAGGAAGAAGAAGGGGATTGGCGAGGAAGAAGTGTCGGCAGCCATAGCTGACCGGGGAGTTGACCGAGAGGGTTGACCGGAAGCGTTGACCGGAGTTGACCGGGGGTTGACCAAGGGTCATAGCAGCGTTGACCGGCCGTTGACCAAGGCGTTGACCAAGACTTTGACCAAGCTGGAGTTGGTAACATCTCGCCAAGCCCTTAGCCTACCCCTTGCCCTATGGATGTGCACATACCCCTTGGTACTTGCTGAGTACAGTATGTCTGTCTATTCTTTCTGCATTGAGTCTCTTCTGTCCTAGGTCATAGAACTCTGTGGATGAAGGATAGGGCTTGGATGACGAAACCCTACTCTGACCTTGTAGGGCTAAGGTTGTGGCTGATCCAACTTTCCAGGGGGGCATAACCCTCCCAAGGACCGGTGCTGACCGGCTGGAAACGGTTGGTAGGACTCAGTGGGCCTGAACGACAGTTAGGGCTGACACACCAGGCAGTCTTTAAGTGTTGAGGGCCTGTTTGAACCACTCCCCTACCGGACCAAGTAAGACTGAGGATCTGTGTCTGACGACTCGACTGTCCTGGAGGTCAAACCCTCCCAAGGACCGGTACAGACCGGCAGGCTGCTCGGTGTGGCACACTAGGCCGGAAAGGCTGAGTTGTGGGCTGAAAGCACAGGCAGAACCAAGCTGATCACGTCGTCCTGTCTGCGACGTTAAAGAATTCTTGAGRAGTTACGGGGKATCTCCTTAAATGCCTCCTGATCAGCCACTGGTTCAGTAGTGACAGCCATAGCATAGGTCTAGGYTAGAGRCYAYAGTTGACAGGATCCCTGTCAGGATTCTGTAAGTCTTAGATTGAGTCAGTAGGTCTGTTAGTCAGGGGTTGGCGTCTACGTGGTGAGGTTTGGAACCTCTAACCTGGCTGTACACCTATCACCATGGTCGAGCCCCGCACTGGGAAGGAGACTAGTCCCTACACCCCTGAGCAACAAGCGAAGATGGCCGCCGTAGTAAAAGAGAATAGGGACAGGAAAGAGCGTGAGAAGCAGGCGAAGCTAAAGGCTATCGCAGACGAGCGGGCGGCGAAGATGAAGGAAGTAGAGGAGGAGATGAAGAAGAAGGAGCAGGCTGCTGAAGAAGAAGCGGCAACAGAAGAGGAAAAAGAAAAAATGAGGATTGAGAGCAGACAGGGGAGTAGTGGCACGAAAAAGGACACAGACGCTGAGATTGAGAAGAAGATCAGTGAGTAAGTTGCTAACTTATCGTTGGGGGAAGATGAAGAGGCGGAGTCATATGTGACTGAGGATGAGAAGGCCGCACTGGCCGCTGAGTTGGCAACCATGACCGACCCTATGGAACGAAGAGAGAGGGAAGACGAGCAGAAGTTGAAATGGAAGTTGAGAATGAAGAGGGAGAAGAGGAGGATGAGAGAAGAGGTGAACAAGATGACCGCAGCAGTGGCAAAGGTGCAAGAGTGTAGAGCGGAGGTACTGGCCCAGCCAGATGATAAGGCCAAGTGGGACAAGGTACTGGGCTATCTAGAGGTGTTGAGCAAGGCCTGGATGGAGGAGCGCTAGGCAAGTTGGAGCCAGGATGTAGCTTTGAGCGCCATGCGGTCCGGATTTAGGGAGTTTGCGCGCGAAATCGTCACCCACATTGGGGGCGAAGTGAAACAGTTGAGGGACAACGTAGGCAAGTACTGCGAAGGCGCCATTGAGGGTGCCAAAGCCATAGCTGCTGCAGAGGGCGAGCGTCGACCCCGTAAGGAGCCTGTAAAGCTCAAGTTCCCAGACGCGTACGGGGGAAAGAAGGAGGAGAACTTTGACAACTGGGAGGCCAGTGTCAACAGTTATATTTACTTGCAGCATATCCTAACAGAGGAGCAAGTCCTCGTGGCCTTTCAGGCCCTCAAAGATGACGCGGCTAGTTTCGCCAGGTCTCTTGCGCGTACAGCCGGTTGTGAAAACAACCTGGTTGCATATTCTAAAGTCACCCCTCTTTCCCAATTCCTCAAGCTCCTCAGGGAGCGTTTCGTTGACCCAACGCGAGGCATAAGAGCCTTTGACAAGCTCCAAACGATCCACTCACGGCAGTGGAGGAGTGCCAAGGCACTCAAGGGTACCATGGACGACTTGGTAGCCGTCCCGGACCATGGGGTCACTGTGCCCCAGTTGGTCCAGTTGTTTTATCGTGCCATTCCAGAGGCCCTACGCGGGCATTTGTTTGACAAATCTCAGCAGGCCGGCATCACTTACGATGCATTGAGTAGAGAAGCCGTCCTGTATGAGTCGAAGTCTATGCCAGTTACCACTTTCTGGCATACGGACCTGGAGAAGGGGAAGAAGTGGAAGGATCGTACCATCTCGGACCAAGTCAAGGCCAAGGATCACTTGATCCTGACATTAGAGGAGGGTGGTACAGAAGAGGTCCCATATGATTAGATTGAGTGGGGCCTAGGGGAGGAGTACAGTAGTGTAGGGCAGGGGAGGTCTTACGCTGCTGTCGCGGCCGGAGGGAGGCCGCAAGGTAGAGGAGGAGGCCAGGGCCAAAGGGGCCAGGCCATGGGAGGCCGAGGACCGGGCGCACAGGGGGTTGGCGGACAGGGAAACCGCTAAGCGGGAGGTCGGGGTCAAGGACCCCCGTTAAATCGCCAGGGTAATCGGTCCCCGCAGCGAGGAGGTGGAAGGGCACCTCAAGGAGGATAGCACCCAGGCTTGCCACAGGGAAGGCCCTGGGAAGACCTGGGCTTGGACCAGCGATTATGGCAGGAAAGCGTGAACATGGGTCAGTGCGTATTCTGTGGTGACCCGGCACACGTAATTATTTTTTGTCCTAATTATAGACATGCCCGTTGGGCTGCCCAGCAGTCAAAAGGCAGCCGCCAGTAGGGGTTGCAACTGCCCCTACTTCCAGGCCATGTGGAGAAGTGAGCGCGCGCGAACAGGACACTCCCAACCCACATGAGCCTATGGCAGAGGTTGCAGGCCCGTGCCTAGATAGCTGTCGAGAGACTGCTTGTGTTAGCGTCTCTTTAGGCACGTCCCTCACAGGTGTGGCAGAAGAGTTAAAGGAGACGATGCCAACCTGGGCCAAAATGAAAAGGGAGAGTAAGGGACAACTGATTTTGGTAGATGTAGAGGTGTTCATGAGTAGAGTAGGGGCCCTTATAGACTCAGGGGCTACCCATAGTTACATTAGACGTAGGGCGCTGAAGAAGCTGAGGCTAGGACTAAAGGTCCAGAAGCTAGTAGACCCCATAGTCAGTGTCCTCGCAGACAACCGCATGATGCGCGTTGAGGACTATGTAGAGGGAGTCCAGGCATATTTTCGCCTAGAGAAGGATGGGAAGGTGGGAAAAGTTCTCCATTCCCTGACTCTCCTCGTACAAGATGACCTTCCTTTTGATATAGTTTAAGGAATGGATTGGGGAGAGGCAGCAGGGGCCACACTTCATTTGAGAGAGCATGAGTGTAGGCTCCCTAGTCCGTCAGGCGAGGTTAAGACTGCCCGCTTGTTCCATGTGTCTGGTGTATATAACACCTTGGCACATTGCTGTCTCAGTGCTCCCGCGTTCGCGCGATTAGTAAAGAAGGAGCAGTTAGAAGACCAGGTCTTTGTAGTTTATGTTAGATCTGTCACTGAGGCCCACGAAAAGGATAGTTCCACAGATCCAACAATTGTCAAGCTGCTAGAAGAATTCAAGGACTTGACTGAGTCGCCGACAGGAGTAGTGTCGCGACCCATCCAGCATAGGATAGAGATAGAGCCTGGCAGTAGAACTCCTAAGGGTGCAGTCTATAGGATGTCCCCTAAAGAGTTAGAGGAGCTTCGCAAGCAGTTAGACGAACTCCTTGAGAAAGGTTGGATCAGGCCCAGTTCGTCTCCTTTTGGAGCACCAGTTTTGTTTGTCCCAAAGAAGGAGGGAGAACTCCGTATGTGTATAGACTATAGGGGTTTAAACGCGATTACGGTAAAGAATGTTGAGCCACTGCCCAGGATAGACGATCTCTTAGATCGGGTGCAGGGTTACAAGTATTTCTCTAAAATAGACTTGAAGTCCGGATACCATCAGATAGAAGTCCATCCTAATGACCAGTACAAGACTGCGTTCCGGACTAGATACGGGCACTATGAGTTCATAGTGATGCCCTTTGGACTAACCAACGCACCAGCTACCTTCCAGAGTTGTATGACTGACCTATTTAGACCATGGTTAGATAAGTTTGTAGTAGTCTATCTAGATGATATCCTAGTTTTTAGTAAGACCCTCCAGGAGCACCAGGGTCATCCGAGGCAGGTCTTGGAGAAGCTACGAGAGCCTAACTTCAAGATCAACGCAAAGAAGTGTGAGTGGGTCAAGACACAAGTTTTGTACTTGGGCCACGTGTTGGACGGAGATGGCATTAAGCCAGAGGACAATAAGATCGCGGCGATTAGAGACTGGCCGACACCCCGCACATTAACAGAGTTGCGGTCGTTCCTAGGCTTAGCTAACTACTATAGGAAGTTCGTGAGGAACTTCTCCACTATCGCCGCCCCCTTGCGCAGACTGATCTGGCAATGGGATAAAGATTATATGTTTGCACTCAAGAAGTTAAAGCGCGCGTTAATAGAATACCCTGTCCTCAAAGTAGCAGATCCGTCCTGACCATTTGTCGTTACCACGGATGCAAGTCAGTATGGGACAAGCGCTGTGTTGCAGCAAGACGACGGCAATGGTTATAGACCCGTAGAGCAGACATGGTAAGAGCCAAGTCATGGTCATTGTCGACCGTTTTAGTAAGTATGCAGTTTTTGTTCCTTTGCCTGCAGAGGCACGTACAGATTTAGTAATACAGAAGTTCTTTGASTTTTGGGTTAGTGAGAATGGARTCCCATTGTCAATAGTTAGTGATAGAGATAGTCGYTTCACCAGCCAGAACTGGCAAGAACTCATGAGAGTCTACGGATCTAAGTTGTTAATGTCGTCCGGCCGTCACCCAGAGACTAACGGTCAGACAGAATAGATGAACAAGATCCTACAGCAAGTTTTGCGCATGTATATTAGACCAGATCAGATCAACTGGGATGAGATGTTGTTGCCCAAGGTCGCTAGTGCATACAACAACAGCGTGCATCTATCCACCTGCCGCTCTCCCAATGAGTTGCACAAGTCCTTTAGACCGCGCAGACCGTTCGAAGGACTGAACCGGGATCAGATTCACAGATTACCGCCCGGTACCAGGGAGTTTTCGATACAGCACGAGAAAGAACTAGCAACTGTTGTTGAAAACCTCAGGAAGGCCCAGCATAGGATGATAGAGCAAGCTAATAAGCACCGCCGCCCGTCGCAGTTTCAGGTAGGTGACTTAGTCTGGGTCAAGGCTAAAGAGTTTGCACCTGAGGAAAACATCTCGCAGAAGTTACTGCCCGCATATAGAGGACTGTGGCCGGTTCTAGAAGTCAAGGGCGGAGAGGATGGACCGTCCTATAGCATTGAAATTCCAGCACACCTCCACACATACCCTGTGTTTCATGCTTCGAAGCTGCTACCATGTGTCACAAGTCAATAGTTCCCTTCGAGACAATCCATGATCCCCCCGGATATGGATGGAAGTTATGACATTGAAGGCATTGTAGATGAGGATGTGTTCAGAACAGGAGGTAGAGGTCGTCCCCAGAAACAATATAAGGTCCGTTTTGCCTATCAGGAACCGGAAGACGACCGCTGGTTCACGAAAACAGAACTTTTAGAAACCGCTCCCGACATCGTCAGAGCCTATGAACGTGACAAGAAAGGTAAAGGTCCCACCTTGGACTGAAATGTTCTCGGAGGACCTCGAAATTAGGACGGCAGGAGTGAAACGGTTTTCACCTTTTAGCAGTAGCGGATGCAGTACCCAGGGCTCAATCCCTAGACCTCACCCTACCTATGTACAGTATCTGTATAGAGCCCGAGAATTGAACCTGTGACCTGTGTATTTGCAGACAGTTGGTAGGTCTGTCATAGGTCCCTAGGCAGCAGGGGTTCGATCTGTAGGTCTATAGCGTAGAAGTCTTAGTGAGTTCCGGAAGCTTAGCTGTAGGCCTTCTAGAAGGTAGGCAAGTGGGCAAGTGGTCAAGTGGTGAGGCAAGTGGTGGACTAAACCGCAGTGCAACAGCAGTACAACGTCGGTAGGATAGCGGTGAGTCCACAGTCAGTCAGCGGAAGGTCCAGTCAGTCCCAGTCCGGTCCAGCAAGTACCACAGGGGGACTGTGAGCACCAAGGGCCGATGGCAAAGGGCAGACCAACGAGTTTCTGAAGTATAAATCAAGAGGCAGTGCCCAGCCATTCATTCATTCCTACGGGAGCCATGCGGAAGCGGTGCCACAGCGCCTTGTGCAAGGAGGTCTGCAGATGAGCCCGGAGGTCGCAGTGGGCAGAGAGGAGGAGTTAGTTAGCGATAGGTTAGAGGCAGCCATAGCTGCCATAGCTGTAGTTAGTAGTGAGTGTGTGTGTGTGTTCGAGTGTTAGAGTGTTGCGTGTGGGATATCCAGGGTGATCCAGTGCATGTGAACAGTGAGATGTCTGGGCATTGAAGTCGCCATAGCCAATTGAGAGTGAACTCGTATCTGAAAGCCATGTCTCTGAGTTTTGAGTGGGCGCATGTCGCCAGTATGCTGCGTTGCTGTTTACATGCATGAAAAGTGTGTTTGAGAATGAGTCTGATTGCACTATGTGTGTTTTCACATTTTTGGCTATCGTGCTTATGCCAAAATGCCATACTTACCAACTGGCCTACCTCTGTTGGTACACCGACGAACTGTTCAAATGCACACCTGAGTTTCAATCTGCTTTTTTTTTTTTTTTTTTTTTTTTATACTAGACAGGTGTAAAAAATCCAGGCCATGAGCCTCATACAGTCGCAACCCACAACAAACTCACTCATCGAGCCAACGGATAGCTCCGTCCAAGACAAGACGAAGGATAGTCAGGCACAACAAATCCTCCAAGCCTCTGTCATATTCCGTGATCTGACCACAAAAGTCAGTAATAGTCCTGCACAGCTTCCTCAGTTGCGGCGTCTCCAGACCTCCTCAAGCATCACCAGTTTGTATTCAATAGTGTCGTCGTCCGCAGTAGCGGAGTCTTCAACCTCGATCACTTCGTCAACGTCTACCGGATTCACCCCAAACTTCACCACCGCACGCCGATCTGCAATATTGATGATGGCATTGATCTCTCCATCGTATTTCACTCCCTCCTCCTTGCAGATACGCTGTAATTCGACAACATCCAGGCTTTTGATCTCATCTATAACCGCGATGCGATATGATATCTCAATGTCATCGCCCTTCTGAAAAAGAAAGAAGAAATATTAGAGAAGGGGAAACTACATGGGTGTTAACAAAAATGAGTTAGAATTGCACTATGGGCCAAGATACAGTTTCCAATTGCAGTTTGGGCAATGTATACAACCCAGCTTTCTGGCCAGGTAGGGTGCCGTAAGTGCAATTGCAAACTGTATCTTGGCCCATAGTGCAATTATAACTCGTTTCAAAAAAAAAAAA